AATGTAAAAGAAAATGACAAAATTGTTTTAAATCATTAATTATTTAGGTTTTAAAAGCAGTTAATAAGTTAAGGCTGGTGACTGAAGGTGAAGTTGTATGGTACCAGGAATATCCTGGAACAGTATGCCGTAGTAACTGAATGAAAACTCTGGAGCTAAACTGCCCAGGTTTGAATCCCGACTTTGTCACTTATTAGCCCTATGACTTGGGCCAAGTTATTTAGCTACTCTCTACCTCATCTCTTTGTAAAATGAGGATAAGAACAGAACCTAACTCATGGGGCTATTGTGAGGATTAAATGAGCAAATACATATAAAGACCTTAGAACAATGTTTGGCACATTATAAATCACTGAATAATCATAAACTTACTTTCCATGTTTTCTGAGTTCTTATTATTAACAAAGAAATGTTTCAGTAGGAAAAATGAAACAAAACAAAGACATAATAAAAATACTATTATTTTTTCTCAATCTTGATATCAAATAAAAATGTTTAAAAATATTATGACAAAATATAAGCCAACCATTTCTTGGCTTTAGATTACCTAAGAATTACAGTTCGTCAAAAAGAAGACTAACATCCTATCTAGAAACAATAAATCTTAAGTTTCAATCAATCAAATGAAATAAATATTTCCTGAACAATAACTGTATCCCTAAAACAGTGTTATGAACTAGTATGATTATTTTAGGACCCATGTTCGTTGAAGTGATACTGGTACAACTTAACATCTTTACAGCACCCTTTATTTTAGGATCATAAGAGAACTCTGAAGGGTGATTTGATAAGAAGAGATGAATGGATACACACTGTCCACCAATCAGGAAAACAGGCAAATCTAATTGCTGCACTAACACGTATTCAATCACGGCATTAGTGAAGCTTCTCTAATAAAACCATCACCCATGTCTTTAATGCTGGTGCTCAGTTTAAACTGGCATTCCTATTTAGTTTCAGGATGATGGCACAGGAAGAATTAAATTAATAGGAATATATCCAGGGAGAGTACCTCAGGATATCCATATTCATAATTTTTTTCAATTGTCATTCTACTTATTAAGGTTTATTTTGCCTGGATAGTCATCCACATCTGACAAAATCCTTGAAGAGTTCATTTAAAGCTCATCTTTTCCAAGAAGGTTTCCTCGAGTAGACTATTTCATATTAATCTCTCACTTCTCTAAACTTGTACCACACTGAATGGCACTTAATCCTGTACTTTCTTGTATGTTTTAAACGTTTTTATATGCAAATCTTGTCCTGATAATTAGATCTTAAATGGCTAATGCAATTGTGCTCAAACTTTTTGTATCAGAACCAACTGGAGGGCTTGCTGAAAGGCAGGTTGCCAGCTTCTGATTCACTAGGTTTGAGGAGGAGTCTGAGGATCAGCATCTCTAACAGGTCTCCAAGGTAATAATGCTGGTCAGGGGACTACATTTTGATAACCACTGAACTACAGCAAATTACAGTGAAACTTTTTTGTATAATGATATTGTACAAAGTGTCATTTACTCTCTTTTTGCCATACCTGCTGCCACTATACTCATCCAAAATCTTCACCTCACATTTTCTTCTTGGAATGCCCTCTGCCTACTTCCTAGTGAATTCTTAACCATATTTCAATTTCCAATTTAAATGTCACCTATCGGAAGCTTTTTCTGATCTCTTAGTTATAAATAATGGCTTCTAGATTTGACTACTGCAAATGACTTCACATATACTCCCATTATAATACTTTTTATACATTATAAAATTGCACACAATTTTATATATTCTAATACATTTTAATGGAATTACTGGTATACATATCTGTTTCCTCATTCTAATACTTTTTAGTGGAATTACTGGTATACATATGTTTCTTCACTATATTACGTCTTTTTAAAGGCAGAAACCATACTTTACTTGCTTCTGTAGTCAGAGAAAATTAGAATATGTGGTACATAGTAAATATTCAGTAACGATTTACTATTACTACTGTAATACTCTCCTTATAGCACTAATGCCAAGGAATCTCAATTTTGATTTATGCCATACATAATTATCAGTTTAATTTTCCTAAAGCTCCACATCGCATTCCCTTCTACTCCAAAACTATACTGACTCCTAAAAACCTCTTTATAAATCTGGCTCTTCTCTAAGGCTCCAATATTATATATAATTCTCTACTCCAGACAAGGTATGATAATTCTGTCCACTGAACACACCATATATATACAACTGGCAGAAATTTGTGAAGCTCTTCTCTTTTTTTCTCCCCAGACACATTTTAAAATACCTCCCCTCTGCTGAGCTCATGCAGCATTCACTGTAGCAATGACTCAGCATTTACTATCAGCCGTCCTAAAATGTCTTATTTATGTGTATTTCACTAATTCATCTAGACTGTAAGTGTTCTGTGCTCCTAGTCCCTATTGTTAATTTTTATCCCATTGCTTACAATAGTGAGGCTTTCATGTTTAGTTATAGTAATTGCAAAGGAAGTACCCAGCAAGTTTTGAAAAAATCAGTGGCCTATATAATCTTCATGTTATAAATAAAGCAGACTTCAATGATTCAAAAAAGAATAGAAAGATGCTTTTTAATTCCCATGATAGTCCGCATGCTCTGGCTCAGAAACCCAAAGATTGTCCCAAATAGAAAAAAGCATATTAGGCTTTATACTGCTCAGGTGCAACTTTTAGAAGGGATGACAATGTTATCTCACCCAGATTTAGACACAGCAGCCTTTCCAGAGTTGGACAGATAAAGAGACTCCCAGAGAGTAACAGGCATGAAGTGGGTAGTAGTTAGGTGGTACTGTACCACACTGTGGGAAATTGACCTGACATGAGTAAAATGCAGTGGGAAGGGATGGAGACTAGAAGAGACCTTTACAACAATGAACTGGAAAACATTCCATCCAGAGCCTGGAGAAAATCTCATTTTAGAATAGCAAAACCATTTTATATGATTGCCTGCTACATTGGAAACTGAACTGGAAGTGAGGTATATCACCCTGCCCTCCAGTTTTATATCGAACAGTTCCAAATAGCTAGCACAGCCAAGGGAAAAAAACCCGTAAGTCCATCTAACGGTGTCTAATGATACTAAGTCTTGATAGGTCTCTCAAGAGCAGATAATACAAAAACCTAATACAGGGAATATGGAAAAATGTTACACAAGAACGTACAGAGAATATCATCCCCCCAAATCAGGTAAAGATCCATGCAGCTGAAAATAATACACTGCATGAACACATAATTTCAATAGTTTGAAATCTTTCTTAATTTGCAAAAAGACGGAGAACCCAGAGTATGAAGCTAATAATAACCTGGATTCTGGCTAGTAATTTATATTTGCAAAGATAAACAATGAATGAGAAATAAAATTGAGTTGGGGTTTTTGTCTTACTCACGTATCATTTAAAAATGGTAATTCATTTTTGAGTTCAAATTAAGAGAAGTATAGTTTATAAGGCTTTTAAAAATGTAATATCTCTAGGAGAATTAATAACAAGGTGTTTATATTTTAAATCACAATATCACTGAGCAAAAAAGCATTTGTATAGCCAGAGAACAAACAACATAAAAAGCAAGAGAACATTAAAAATTAGTATAAAACAAGATGATATAAGACCAAACATACCAGTTATTACAACATACGTAAACATATTAAATATTGATATTAAAAGATTAAAAGTCCAAGATAGAGTTAAAAGTTAAAATTCAACTTATGCTCCAGGACAGAAAGTTGGCAGATCTGGGATTCTATCTCTCTTCTCTTTGGTGCTGAAAGTTACGTTCTTTCTGCTACACCATGCTATTTACTTAAATATGCTAATGAAATTAAGTTCTTTACATTTCAGATGTTTAAATTCATTCTATTTATAAATAATATGCTAATTTAATAGTACAATACATTTCTTTTATCTTTGAGGGAGTAAACAGGTTTATTCAAGATATATATGTGTGTATACTACACATATGAATAAATGTATGTATATATGAACATATATACATGAATGTATTGGTATTAAAATGAAAAAGCATTTTAATATATCAAATAGCTTTATTCCCTTTTGTGGACAAATCAAGTTTTGTCTATTTAATATGTATCTATTTACCCATATTTAATATATACCTATAGTATCTACAGTCACACTTATGTATGATAGATTAAAAAAGAGTAATATTACATAGTTATATTTTTAAAGTAATGATTCAGAGAAGAACACTGCTCTAAATACACGGTTGTGAACACTCATTCATAAGAAAACAATAATTACGGTAAGCATCTTTATTTATGTGGTTATTTAAATTCATCTAATTGCAAAAACTTTTTGTAGAGCCTGGTTTATAGAAGTAAACTCTTTGTAATTCATCATGAATAAGGGCTTTTGGAGCTTAAGAAAAAAGATGAAGTACTTAAATCTCATAGACATATTTAACCACCGACAACCACTGATTTAGCAGAAAACAAAGCAACTACCTCCTTTTGATTTGCAAGCGTGGTACTGTGGAGGTTGATGGCAGTTACTCATAATTTAGAAAATGTAATCTGATTTTGTATTTTTATTTGCAGATTTTAAGAAAAAAAGATGCTGTAACCTAATCATGCCATAATCCAGGTGACATCTGTACTAGGCAGAAACCTGTTGTTATTCTCCTGTCTAGCTGCTATTGCTGAGAATGACAAAGTAGTGAAATTACTTTTCCCATTATTATTTCCAGACACTCTGGCAATGGTTTGTTGACTCTAATAAACCTTCAGACAAAGCTGTCAGCAAAGGAAATGGCAGAAGGAGAGCAAGGAAAAGCCTCTTCAACGATAAATGCATCTAAGAGTTTGGTATAAGCTTGTACAGTTTCTGATAAAATTTAATGTGAGTGCTTCAAAATTTTCTCTAATGCTGCATTTCAATTCCAAAGAGAAAAATGTATTATATCAGGCTACATTACCATGATTTTGATGAACATAAACATATTATTAGATTAAAGAATGAGACATCTTACCTGCAATCGTATTAAGGAACATCAAATATTCGAAGTTTGAAATTTCCCTTCTTTGCCAGCGCTGAGTCATATTGGAAGATTTATAAAGCTGTCGAGGAGTGGCCAATGATATCCTCCTAGCAATTAAGCATAGCATAACAAACAGAGTCTCTTTAATTCTTAATTTTAAAAAATCCAGTATTAACTAATATGTTAGTTTGGTAATCAATTTAAAATAATTTATGGTTTATCATTCTTAGATGAATTAGAAAATATATTTTAATTGTAGAAATTAGCAATATTTGAGAATTCCATTATGGAGAAGATACACTTAGTTACTCAGTATAAAACAGTTTGAAAGCAACCTTACTTGTAAAATCATAGCTACAAATGAGCATTTTACAAATCAACAAGAAAAAAAAGTAAAACTATACTTAAGATAAATCAAGTAGTTTTTAAACAATACAGCAAATCTGCTCCATGTCAACTAGGTAGGTAGATAGGTAGTCAGGTAACTGCTTACATGCATTTGACTTAATGTCTGTCAATGAACATTTTAGACTTGCCTTCACACACAGAGTGTGCACACACGCACAGCATCTGCCTGTACAATATCCCTGCAATGGTGTAAAATATAAACAAATGGGAACTTTGAAAAAATGCATCAGTCCAGAAGAAGGGACATAGGAACAGCCTAAGGGAATAAACCATGATAATTTGTCCAAATTATGAAACTTTCCAGGTTCAACATGTTCATCTAAAAATAATGAAAGCCGTTGTATTTAGAAAAGTATGATAAAGCTATTGGGTTTTTAAACTGATTGACAGGGGTTCTCAAACTTTTTCAATTCATGGCACCCTTAGTATCTCCATAATTTTTCATAGTGCTCCTTGGCCAAGAGAAATATCTTACAATTGTGTTTATTAAGTAGTTAGCTCTAAACAACTCAATAAATATTTAACATCTCAACAACTGAGTAGCTGTTTGAAAACACAATACTCATAAACTTAAAGAGAAATATTTATATTTCATTCTTAAATAACCACATTTACTAATGGGGTGTGTATGTCTGTTGGACACTGCACAGCTTCTGAAACCTTGGAATCAGATCTGACACCATCACATTCATTTCCTGTTCCACACTGATTTTTCATGTGGCTCTTGTTTTTGAAAACAGTAGCCACCAAACACCAGTTTCTCAGAGGTGTCACTGAAAAAAATGCAGCCCTATCTAATCATTCTAAGTTGAAACTTGGAACTAACTCGAGCAAATACTTTGTGTGGTATCTGACAAATGTTGCTGTTTTTCCCTAAACAATTAACAAATGCCCTGCAGTACCCCTGGGAATTCACTGTGATATCTCAGAACGCCTTGGTGTTCAGTTTGGGAACAGACTTAAGGCTATTTCTGTTACTCATGGATTATTAACATGAGTATTCACAAGGAATCTTAATAGGCATTGTCTTGTACATAGCACAAAAGATTATCAAAATATCTCTTGCAAAGATATCTTGCAAAATATCTCTTGCAGAGTATCTCTTGCAAAGATATTTTCCGCATTTTATGGTAGATAAGAGTGCCATTCTGCTTGAGTAGTGTTATTCATTCTTTCAACCAATATTTATTGAATTCCTAGTAAGTGTGAGGCTTGCGTATTATTACCCAGTTAAGTGACAGGTTTAAGCCTAGATGCAGGGTCTCCCCATTGCCACTTGGTACTTCTAAGGATGTATATCTAGGGAAGTATATAAAACTGAGTCTGTAAGAATATTATTAGGAAACTAATAATTAGTTGGGGGGAAAACAAGCCAAGGACAACAAAATGATGTTTAAAGATAGAATGGCATTATGAATTACAGAGAGACCAAAACTACTGAACCGCTCTTTTGTTTTCAGTTTTCTTATAGAGAATGATCTTCCAGCTGGGCATGGTGGCTCTTGCCTGTAATCCCAGCACTTTGGGAGGCTGAAGTGGGTGGATTGCTTGAGTCCAGGAGTTCGAGACCAGCCTGGACAACATGGTGAAACCCCGTCTCTACAAAAAATACAAAAATTAGCTGGGTGTGGTGGCATATGTCTGTATTCCCAGCTACTTGGGAAGCTGAGGTGGGAGGATCTGCTGAGTCTGGGGACATCAAGGCTGTGGTGAGCTGACATCATGCCACTGCACTCCAGCCTGGGTGACATAGTGAGACCTTGTCTCAAAAAAAAAAAAAAAAAAAAAGAATGATCTTCCAAATGTCAAAAAGAGACCAAATGTGGTTAAAGGGGAAACAATACTCATAATAGGTAAGAAATATAGTAAAAGAGCTTCTGATTGTTTTAAATGAATTCCAGTCCAGACAAGTCAAAGAATACTGAGGGAAATTATACATGCCATATAGAAACCTCTATTAGTAATCTTTCAGGAATCATTGAGAAATATGCCAGAAGACAGGAGATTACTCTTAAAAAGGAAAAAGTTAGACCCATTCGTAAGTTCTTAATGTCAATTCCTGAGTAAATTCTTAAATTGATGACTAAACAAATAGTATGTAAGCACTTGGGAAAGGAAGTAATGATTATTATGAGTCAGCTTAGATTTAATAAGAACAAGTCTTGCAGAACTAACCTCATTTTCTTTGATAGATGAAATGCATTTTTCTTTGACCTGTATTTTATATAAGTGCTTCATTATCTACTAATATCTTAGTTTAATCTTGTCGTTCTACTAGCAAATATCTTGAGCATGTGTATACATGTCAGTGAATTGGTCTTACACTGTAAGCTTCAAGAGAATAGATTAACTTGCAATACAACGTAACCCTAGCTGAATAGCACTTTAAACGCACTGCTGCAATTAGGCACTGTGTTAGGTTCTGTAGATCAAAGGATAAATCAAACACAGTCCCTGTCTTTCAAATGTCTGTAGCCTATTTAAGGGAGGATAGACAAAGATTAGTTTTCCTTTCCATCCATACAGTGCTGTGCAATAATTCTCAAGGACATAACAATCTATGTGGTAGACACTGTGGTATCTACCTAAAGCCAATCTCCCTTTGTTCCTCATCCACAGAAATCTTCTTTTGTTCATGTAAGAGCTGGCAAAGAAGGCCGGGCGCGGTGGCTCTTGCCTGTAATCCCAGCACTTTGGGAGGCCGAGGCGGGCGGATCACGAGGTCAGGAGATCGAGACCACCCTGGCTAACATGGTGAAACCACGTTTCTACTAAAAATACAAAAAAATTAGCCAGGTGTGGTGGTGACGGCGCTTGTAGTCCCAGCTACTCAGGAGGCTGAGGCAGGAGAATGGCGTGAACCCGGGAGGCGGGGCTTGCAGTGAGCAGAGATCGTGCCACTGCACTCCAGACTGGGCGGCAGAGCGAGACTCCGTCCCCCTCCACCCCACCTCAAAAAAAAAAACCACAAAAAAACAAGAGCTGGCAAAGAATCAGTGGCATCTTTTTTCCATAAAACCTAGGGAATATCTGGGCTAGGCTAACGGAACTCACACCTCTCTGGCGGTGATTGTTTTAGGAATGGGAAGGTGACTGTATTCTGGCCAAAGGGACTTGAGATAAAGATTGCTCTAGGCTTCTGAGAAATACATTCCTTCCTAAAACAGAGAAGCCTGAAGAGAAATCCTTTGTGTCTTTTTCCTACTGTAATGCAGTTATGTGAAGATGTAGCAGCTGGAGAAGCAGTGGTGATTTTGTAAACACAAAGCCAATAGAGTTCTGACATCACTGAACCTCTGAACCAATACCGGCAGCACCTTAACTCCAGATCTTTTATATTAAACACACACACACACCAAAATACCCCTATTGTTTAAGTCATTTTCAGTCAGGTATTCAGTTATTTGGAGCCAAAAACAGACAAACTGATATCAGCAATATGAATAACTACTGATTACGTTTTCTACTTACATTAGTATCTTTTAATAATATAAGATTTCAAAATGATTCTTCTAAAATACCAAGATGAAAATCTAGGAAATGTGGTTACCAGTATACCATAATTAATGACTATTACACTTAATAAACCCTAAGGGTTTTATTGCTTTAATGAAGAAGCATTTATACATGGCATTTATAAAAACATTTATATGCTATTACATAGCAATTAATCATTTATGATCTTGAGGCTTTTGCTATGCTTCCTGTAAGATTTTAACAAGCAAGAATGTCTTAACTATATGCTAGCTATGATATGCAATCAAGTTTTTTACTTTCTTATTTATATGTATTAAGTAAAAATCTGCCCTAACCATTCTGTCATTCTCAAAATAGCTATTTTCATAATCTCTATCCCTACAGATAACCTTCAGAGAAAGAAAATTCTTTGGTCTCTGAAATAATTACAATGTTATAACCACGTTTACATTGCTGTAATATTGAGATTGAAATATGTTAACAAGCCATAGATAATATGTAATATGATATAATTACCTGGCTTGTGGCAAACCATAGCTGGTCCCTACTCCAACTCGAGGCAAGCTATAGACAACTTTTTTTACTGTTGCTTGATCAGGGAAATTAAACATAACTGAGGCTGTGGTAAGAAGAAAAAAACAGGGTTTAGAAAACCACAGGAAAGTTAGCCATCAATTTTACAAGTCATCTTCAAGTGCCTATCATGATTTATTTGTAAAGGTAATGAATCTTCATGAAAAATCAGCTTTCAGTATAACTTTATCCATGAGAAACAAATGGGTTCACATTTCAAACAAATTCATTCTTTTTTATTTTCTAAAAAGAATTTATGTTTGTTTAAGCTAAAGCATATCAGAAATACAGTGGGAAAAATCAAGACATTATCATACCATGTAAATGAATAATACGTAAATATGAGCACATTTTCTTTCAAAATATTTAAGTGGACTTACTTCGGTTTGCCATAAATACTTCCAGAGCAGTGTTTTGTAGAAGGTAACGTCTTGAAAATACAGCTCGTATCTCGCTGAACATCCATTTTCCGTGAAGTCCCTCAGTGTATGCAAGAACCTAAAATAAACAGTTTAAAGGGAAGTGTCAATCAATAAAATATGGATTTCAGATCTTCTCTGACAGTATCTTAGTAAAAGTCAGAAAACTAGAAATGAATTCACTGTCTGTCACAACGCTGTCAATAATTTGATACTGTGTATTTGCAAAATTTCTGCCTTTCTAAATTGTCTCAGTTGGGTCTTGAGGAAAAGAAGGAGTAGAAAAACATACTCAAAGAGACTCTGTGACTTAAAACCAAAAATATATGATCACTTTTCGTTCTTGTATATAATTAATTGGACCAGGTGACCACCTGTGAGACATATATTGTTGGTTCTTTCCAATATCCTTTGTCCCCTTTCTTGCTTAATGGCAGCCCAGCTACCCCCAAAGTGTCCATATGGTCCACCCCAGGCGAAGGATCATGATTGGTTTAATCCAGGGGTCAACAAACTTTTCTGTAAAAGGCCGGAGAGTAAATATATTCAGTCTTTGCAGGCTATATGGTCTCAGTTGCAACTATTCAGTTTTGCCATTGTAACATGAAAGGAGCCATAGACAACGTGTAAATAAAGGGGTATGGAGGTGTTCCAACAAAATTTTATTTACAACAAGTATGAGCTGAATCTGGCCCCCAGGACAGAGTTTCGCTGACCCATGGTCTAAGCCAATCATGACAATGTTATTCCCTGCTTCCTCACATTCCCTTGTAACTTTGTGGAAGGACATTAGGCCAAGCACTGGTTAATGAGATCAAAACCAAAAGCAGTTGAGGATGTTTGAGAAAAGCTGATGAAATGAGTCATAGGTAGCTGGCATACCACTTTGCCCTTCCTGCTTGAATGGAGATGTGATAGCTGAAACTGTAGCAGCAATTGTGTAACTATGAGAGGAAGGCCAAGGTTGGCTCTAATATTGAGCTACTGAAACAATCACAGCAACTATCCATATCTGGACTTCTGGTTACCATGTAATAATCTATATTTGATTAAGCTACTGTCCTCAAATCTACAACAAGCACATTCCTTCCTGATACACCAATGTGTATTAACAATTCATAGGGACTTTTCTGCTTGGTTTGGTATACTCTGCTGCACTTATATTTGCTTTGGTGGAAATGAAAACAGTTACTGAGTTTTACATATATTATATTCATTTTACATACATTATATTCATATATACATTTGAAAACAAGTTATGAAGTTTCTTTTTACATTTCCTTTCTCTAGGAAACATAAAATATCTAAGTGTATAATATTTTGGTCTTTATTTTTCGAAAATCCCATTTTGTAACCCTTAATTCAGTTTTTATCTTTCTCTAGACATTGAAACGTTTTCGGAGGCAGTCAGATGTCTATTTAAATCCTGAAACATTTTGGAGCCATTCAGACTCCTACTTAACTCTCAGCTCTGCTATTTACCAACTACAGTATTTTGAAAAACGATTATTTGACTCCATCTGGTTTTCGTCATCTGAAAAACAGTGATAGTGACACCTGGGAATAGTTAGTTTAAGCAGAGACAAAGAATATACAGTATATGACCCTGGCTATTAAGTTCCATTGATGAATTGATATCTCCTTGTTGTTGAGCATCAGGTGACAATTGGTTTTTGGTTTCTAAATGCAAAACTTCTTCTTGTATATTTCACAAAACGGTTATAGTGATTTGCCACAATTTATACTTATACATTGTTAGTTGGCTATAATGGTTTCCGTATTTGATTTTCATAGACCAGTATGATTTTTAAAAAGGAAAGGGATAGTGACACAGGATTAACTCTTTTTTTTTTTTTTGTCAAGTAGGAAACATTTTAAGACAAAACAGCCACAACAACAAAATCTATCTTCAAATATAATCATTATTTCACTAAGGTACTAAAAATATTATGGCCATTTGAAAACCCAAACAGTAAAGTGAATATAATATCAGAAAAAATGATAGGTCTTCCCATGAAAGTTGTGTTGGCACCCTTATACCAATAGCGTTATGTCAGAAAGATAACTGTATCTATATTTCTAGGTCCAGATATATCGATAGCTCACATGTGTATATACATACATAGTCATATTTTGACCTATTTTTTCCTTCTGGAGCTATGGTGCAATGACAATTTGACCAAGCTTTTCTTTCCATTAAGGATGTTATCAGTTTTTATGTTAGTTATAGCAAGCAGGTAGCTCCAAAAAGCATGTTAGTTTGACTCCTTAAGTGCATCATGTAAAACTGTATTTTATAAACTGTGCCAATTATTCATTTATGGCCTTCCATGTGCAAATTCACCCTTAATTTCTTGCTCTGTGAAAATGAACCTGTGTCCTTAAAATACTTTTCCTTTGCTACCTGGCATAGCATTAAACCTTGTCAGGAAAGGGCACTGAAGAGACCGCACAGGAGGAAGGGTTTTTTCTTCTCTGTTCTGGTGTGCTCACTTGGCAGGCGCCTGTTCTCCAGCACTTGGCTCCTGGGACGCATGATGCTCCCAGCACCCAGTGACCAGCAGTTTCCTCAGTACTTCCCTCACCCTGAGCCGTTTTGTAGCAGAGTGCTTCTGTTGGGACACCTCCCATAAATGGCTTCATCAATTCCCTCTTTTTTTACTTTTGAGACAGAGTCTCACTCTGTTACCCAGACAGGAGTTCAATGGCATGATCTTGGCTCACTGAAATCTCCACCTCCTGGGTTCAAGCGATTCTCCTGCCTCAGCCTCTTAAGTAGCTGGAATTACAGGCACGCGCCACTACCGCTCGGCTTATTTTTGTACTTTTTGTAGAGACGGGGTTTCACACCATGTTGGCCAGGCTGGTGTCGAACTCCTAACCTCAAATGATCCACCTGACTCGGCCTCCCAAAGTGCTGGGATTACAGGTGTGAGCCACCATGCCTGGCCAATATTCTTTAGAGTTATCTTTATTTCTTACTAGCCAGTCCCTTGTTACTCAATCTCCTGGCATAACTTATATTATAATTATATTACACTTTTCCTGTCTAAATTGCCCTCTGATTCCTCTCCCCTGACTGGATCCCAGCTAATACACAAACTCAGTTTTCCTATCATTCTCTTAGCTACAGCCTGGGACCATAATGGTCCTAGGGACCCTCTGCAGCAAGCAAAAAGGAACCTAAGATCAGTAAAGCTTAAACACAAAGAGGACAGGGAGAGATAACAAAATTAAAAGAAAATGATTTTGCTAGTAGCTTCTAAATGGCTTAGGAAGCAAACTCTGAAAGACAGAGCCAAAGGTCCAAAGCTATTTTGAACAATGGCAGCATCATTTAAATAAGTGTACAGCCCTTACCAAAGGGGACATGGGAAGAAAAATTATTTTTATATACGCTCTTACATGCTTTTCAAAAAATCTGCCTAACTACTTTACAATAACCCATGTTATATTTGAGCATCTGAAATACTAAAAGGGCTGATGAAAGACAATGTTCTGAGCTAGATACAATTCCCTGCTAGGAAAACCCAACAGAGCCTAGGGCCATTTTCTTTTCTTTTCTTTTTTTTTTATAGCAAACCACCTCCTGCTTTCCCTGCTTGTTTCCTTCAAGACTGATCACGGAATAAGATTATCCTAAAATTTTTTTATTTAAAAAGAGTTTCGTTCCATAATACATTTTTATTTAAAACATTTTTAGATCTACTCCTCTCAGCTGCCTTTTCTGACACGCAATTTAAGAGTTATCATGTAACTCTCTCTCTCTTTTTTTTTTTGTGATAGAGTCTCATTCTGTTGGCCACGCTGCAGTGCAATGATGTCATCTCCTCTCATGCAACTTCCGCCTCCCAGGTTCAAGCGATTCTCCCACCTCAGCCTTCTGAGTAGCTGGAACTACAGGGGCGTGCCAACACAACCAGCTAATTTTTATATTTTTAGTAGAGATGACGTTTTGCCACATTGGCCAGGATGGTCTTGAATGCCTGACCTCAAGCGATCCGCCCACGTTGGCCTCCCAAAGTGCTGGGATTACAGGCGTGAGTCACAACACCCAGACTATCTTATCACTGTTTTAATTCTGCATATGAAAATGATTAATTTTCTTCTTTGTTTTTCATCTGTCCCCTCCCTGTGACATGGAATAGAGAATAGGACTCTCATCTATCCTATTTACTGTTCGATACACAGTGCCTAAAACAGTGTCTGGCACATATGTGCTGCATATACATTTGTTTGTTTAATAAATCACAATGGGAAACTGATAGAAATAGTACATATGGGGCAGGTTCTAAAGAAATAGTACAAAGTGCGTGTGTTTTTGACTCCTTTGTTAAACCCAAAGAAGCTCTCTCCAATGTGGCCTTCAGACTTCTCATGTTTATGTCCTAATGGTATAGTCCACCAAACACCCCTGCTGACTTTAATCAAGAACCAAAACAATAATCTAACTACAGCTGGTTTCTCTTTTTTAGTAGTTTAATTTGCACTACCATGGAACTTTCGACTGGGTTAGATCCCATTCTGAGAAGACACTACCCTTTACAAAAAAGGATTCCTCGACTCCAGAGGAGTTATGGAACGGCTTTAGGCTAAGCAATTTTGACTTGATATTATGGACTTATGTCTCTCACATGGGAAAATGTATACTAAGGTATGTCAAAGAATATCATTTGGAAGCCCTTCTTGAGCATCAATTTTGTTTCTGGTAAGCAATTTAAAACATTTTTGTAGTAACATTAGCACAGGCTGGAAAATAATGCAGAAACGAATGAATTGTTAAGATAAAACACTGCTACTCAGATAAATGTGGTTACTGTGGCTTGCTTGGACTATATCCCAAGGCTCCATTACCCTGTTCTGCTCACAGGCACTGGGAAAGTCCTGAAGCTTAGCAGGAAGGTGGCAGAGTGAGATTTGAGGTACAGCACTAGGAAAGCATGTGGCAGGTACAGTGGAATGCTGTGGGATGGGGGCAGAATGACTGGAGGGGATGCTACTTCAGGCAAATGATGAGTTAATCAACCTGTATACATCTCATAAATGTAAAGGAATATCAATCACAGTCAATTAAATACT